CAAATTCTGGTGGCTTCATGTTGCTCAACTCCCGGAACAACAACGAGTCACACCCCTATGGTCTCGTAACAACTACGGTTGCAGTGGCTGTGGCAGTAGTAGCCTCCGTGACAACAACAGATCGCTTATCAAACATCTCAATCAACGTGGTCTTAATAGACCCGAACATCTATGGTATGGCCTCTCTGATAGTTGTAGCCACCTCCTCCGTAATGATCCTGCGGATCTCCTCGTCACTGGTACCACTGGCTCCGGGGTTATTGCGGGTAAACACCATAGTGTCCCTGAAACAAAAACACGAAAATCATCAGAGACTAGCTCAAATACACACACTTGATTACCCACCCCTACATGATCCTTAGCATCGTAAGGTTCTTACTTGGGTCAATTACAGATCTGGTGCTTTTAGTAGTACAACCCAATACTATCTTCCACACCAACCCGTATCGCCCCAAGTCCTTCTCTTATGATCCTAATTCACAAGTACTCTATCCCTCACGGATATCAAACTACTCTTTTAGTAGACATGCCTAGTTTTAGCGCGCGGGGGGGGGGGGGGGGGGGGAGGGGGGAGGGGCAGCCGCACAGGAGCCAAAAAAATAGGTCCCTAGTTTTAGTTAAATTATATATTTAAAAACTAAATATATGAATTTATTCAAAATATTTCATAGAGTTTGGGTAGCCCAATTGGCAAAGACATGTCTTTTATTCAAAAGCAATGTAGGTTTGGTCCTCTTTCACAGCATTTTGATGTTTTAAATTCAAGTTAAACATTTGACCATTTCTTTATGCTATATATTTCATAATCAACCCCTCCTTCCAATATGTTTAACAAATCAGCTTTCAGAAGTTACATAATTAGCCCTTGAACTTTTTATAAAATTCCATATGTTCCTTTTTAATTAATTTTTTTACTTTTATGTTTTTTGTAACGATAATTCACCGTCTTAATTTTGTTTTCCTTATATATTAAAAAAATTGTATTTAGGGTCCCATTTTTCTTCTTAGCATAGGGCCCTTAAAATCATAGAGCCAACCCTGATAGTAGACTCCTCAAATTCTCATCTAGGTATCTCTCCTAAATTACTCCTCGACTCAAAACTCTCTCTAAAAGATTCCTGCTAGGTACTCCCACTCAAAACATACACAGAGTTAATAGCAGATAATATCTATCAATAGCATCCCTTAGGCTAAGACATCATGAATCAGGCAACTCTAACTCTAAATTCTGAAATACCTAGCCTATCCTCTAGCATGCAACTCTAATATCTCATAATATAAAGCAGTAATGGCATTTTGGGAAATCACCATTCATGCTCTAGCTGACTGTACACACTGCTTCATCTCGTTTCCTCTTAAAAGCTCTTACTTGTTTTAGAAAAATCATTTATTTTTAGAAAATTTTCTCGAATCCTCAGTTTGAGTCCAGACATACCCGATGGTACATCTGGATCCCTAAAACCAAGGCTCTGATACCAACTTGTAACACTCTAATTTTTCAAATAAAATTTTCATTTTTAAAACCACATAAAACACGATCTCACATTTCTCAAAACACAAAAATGTATAACCTGTTCAAAACAGAAGACAACAAAAATGTTTGATAATATCCTAGAATCCTCATAAACATAATCTCTAGTTGGTGTCTACAATCAAGTCGGTGCCTTCCCGCGATCTTGAGAGGTACCTGAAACATATTTCACACAACACTGTAAGCACGAAGCTTAGTGAGTTCCGCAGAATACCACATACACAAATAATAAGCCTCTCATGGCAATAGCTTGACATGGAACCTTCAGTTATGTGTCTTGGTGAGGAACCTCCGATCATGTATCTCAATGAAGACCCTCCGGTCTCACAGCTCAGGTTGGACCCTCCGGTCTTGTATCTCAGTGAAGCCCCTCCAGTTTCACAACTCGGTTTGGACCCTTCGATCCTAACTCAGCAAGGCACAAAATAATATATACCATAAATCACAAAGACAAAATGCATAATATCACATAACTTAGTATAAGCACATAAGACCCTCCGGTCAATAACTCAACTAAGACCCTCCGGTCACACAGTATTACCACTCAGGTAAATATAGTGAGAAGACTCACCTAGTATGTAAACAAGTAGGTCTCGTACTCAACGGTCGGTCTAGACTCCGCCTACATATCATAATCATCTCTAATTAACACTTTATAACAACAACTCTAAAGATGTTAGGCTAACCCTTTTTCTAACTATTGGAAAGGGTGAAATACCATCTTACCCCTCCATGGTCTCCATAATCCATATCTTAACCGAACCCTAAAAGTCAACGAAAGTCAACACTCGAGTCAACAGTCCATGTTGACCCAACTCGTTGAGTGCATCTATGCGACTCGTCGAGTTCCTTCGTTTTCTCTGAAATATCGGGAAAATCCAACTCAACTCGTTGAGTTGTCTCACCAACTCACCGAGGTGTAATGCGTCTAGACTATAAGGGAAAACCATAACCAACTCATCGAGTTCCTTCAGTCTATTCTCTCATTCAGACGTTTTTAAGTAGACCTAAGGCCCCATACTCGAGATCTAGCCTTCTAAGGCTGATGTATCATGTAAAGTTGCAAGCTTTACGTCCATGCATGGCATCTAAGGCTCAAAATGGCAAAACAAAGCTCTATAGAGGATTTAATGGATGAAAGTTGGACAATAGCTTGATAAAGCTAGAATCTTTAGGCCCAAGGGACCTCATACTCTCTAGATCTAAAGTCTCTACTTCTTGGAATGCTCAAACAACTTAAGGACTCCAAGAGAAGATGGAAATGGCCATAAACTCCCTAATGAAGTGATCTAACCAAACAAATGATCAACGTGATAGCTTTTTACCTCCAAATAGCAGCTAGCACTGAAAGAATACTGGATTCAAGGGCTCCTTCTCGTTCCAAGACTTTTGCTCCTCTAACTCCTTCCAAGAATGCACTAAAACATACAATCTTAGCCTCTCTCTCTTCCTCTCTCTCACAGATGGTAATAGCTCAATTAGGGTTTCTTTTAGTGTGTTAAGGTGATAAGGGAGGCAGAATGAAAGGCTTAAGGTCCTCTAAATAGGGTACAAACCTTGAAATTAGGGTTTTCACTCTCAGATTCTACTCGTCGAGTTGGGGTCCTCCAACTCGTCGAGTAGACTTTAAAAATCACGCGGCCATCACAATCTCTACTCGACGAGTTGGGGCCTCCAACTCGTCGAGTTGCCCTGACAAAATGCATATAATGTAATTAAATATTATACCTGGGAGTCGGGATGTTACACATCACATTCAAGTCTCCAAAGTGCTCAAGAGTTGAAGCAATCTATAGGAACTTGGATGTCATGGCTCTTAGCATCTTCTTCACTACATACAATTGTTCTACTGCACGCATTGTGCTCATAATGTTGCTCACTTTCACAACGAACTCATCTACAGCCTCTGACTCTTTCATGTTCAAAGCCTCAAATTCCGCCTTCAATGTTTGAATTCTTGCTATCTTCACTCTATCCTCCCCATGAACATTACTTTCAAGGCTTCCCATGCTTCCTTGGCCGAATGCTTCTCTGCTAATGCCAACAATAGATCTTCGGGTATACGTTGATAGATGGCAGCCAATGTCATCTTGTTTTTCTTGACTTCTACACCAATGTTTGTTGTTCTGGGTTCGACTGCCTCCCAAACCCCTTGAGCTTGCATGAACACTCTCATTTTTATAGCCCGATCAGCATAATTGTTTCTTAATAGCATGGGGTACTCAAGTGTAACTTGCCCATCTTTTCCATTATTGTTGTTCCCTATCATTTCTTTCACTGGTGGCTGATACTAGGGCATGCACCAGGTTGTACTTTGATATATAGGGAAAGCTTAAAGTGGTATGAAGGTTTTTATGAGATAAAACAAAACATAGGACAGGGCAAAAGCTGCACTTCTTATTCACTTTCACAGTAATTTGAATAGAGTCACACACTTTCACCTTTTAAACTAATCAAATGCAGAAAAATTAGGAAACTAACTGACACTACCCTCTAGACTCGGTACTATAGCCAACATGGCTTAGGACTTATTCAAACTCTAATTTGACCACAACTTTCACCAATAATAATTAAAAAGACACAAAACAAAACTTCTGGATTAAGCCAACAGCTTCTGCAAAATATCTTCACAATATACTTAAAAAAGAATATCACTAACTACCCTAAAGGAAAAGTATTAATACTAAAAGGATCATTCCACGAGCAATTATAAGTTTGATAATATTGAGTAAAACATTGAATATCTCAACATGCGTACTGGAGTCTGAGTATGTGTGTCGTCAGAAAATATAAAGAATGAAACAATAAATATTCATATTTGTATAGATAATACTAAATAAATGGTTGTTGATTCGTCTTTCAAACTTATATAGACTTTTAAATGATTTCTCAAATAATAATTATGTTTCCACGTCGACAATGTTTACTGAAATTAATGGCGTGGACCAAATTTTCAAATTGTCAACAAAATCGACGACATACAGATCCACATTACATGCTAGGGTGGCTACGATGGCTTTTTTCTATTCTATAAGAATTAATTAGATATACCATTAAATTCAGAAGTTGACAAGACCCTATTTTACTTTGTCAACGTTCCATCTACTCTTTGGATAATAACTTTAGCCATCAAATAATTGAGATTTTCATCGACCACACGCTAAGTAATTTAATTAGTGATAATGTTTTATACTGTGAAGTTAAGCAACTTAATTAGTCATAGTTTTTTATATTGTGAAGTTATATTATGTTTCTGTTCAACAAATAATAATCTAAACCTGTTTGATTTCAGAACCAACTTTACTCAATATCACTTTTAATCAATTTTCCTTGTTAAAATAGGGAGAAAAAATTTGTCAAAGTATAAATTAGGGGGGGCACAAGCCCTCAATTTTCAATAAACAACATGGCAAAGAAAATAATATCTTCTTCAAACTTATTATTTTTCTCTCTATCTCTATTAATCACCATGCTCTCCCCCATACCATATCTTGCTTCTGCTTCTTTAGATGAAGGCAATGCTCTTCTTAAGTGGAAAGAAAGTCTTCAAATCCCACACAACTCCTTGCTCTCTTCATGGCTTCCCCTCCCTATGAACTCCAGTGCATCAGTTCCATGTACCTCTTGGTATGGAGTAGTTTGCAATGCTGATTGGAGTGTTCACAGGTTGAACCTCACGAGATCTGGATTAAAGGGTACGCTTCATCAATTTTCATTCTCTTTACTACATAATCTTACGCATTTAGATCTCAGTGTAAATAACTTCTTTGGCCCCATTCCTCCAGAAATCCGATTCCTGTCCAAACTTGTTTTTCTTAATATTTCATTCAATATGTTTTCTGGAGTAATCCCACGTGAAATAGGAAACCTCCACCAGCTAACCGACCTGGACTTTGACAAAAACAATCTAACTGGTTCAGTTCCGCAAGAAATAGGAAACCTGGTGTCACTTAAATTCCTAAGCATCTCTGTAAACAATCTATCTGGATTAATTCCTTCAACATTGGGTAATTTGACATCTTTGAATACCCTTTTTTTGTTCTACAATCAACTCTATGGTCACATTCCAAGTGAGCTTGGGAATTTAAAGTCTCTCACTGAGCTTGCGTTGAGCCTAAATCAACTGAGTGGTTCTATTCCTTCATCACTAGCAAACCTCAGCAATCTACAACGTCTGTTCCTCGGTGCTAATACTTTTTCAGGTTCAATTCCACAAGGACTTGGAAGGCTAGACTTGATTAAGCTAGAATTGGATGACAATCAATTGTCTGGCAATTTGCCTGATGATCTGTGCCATGGGGGGATGCTTCAAAAATTGACAGTATCAGGTAATCAACTTACTGGTCCTATTCCAAGAGGCTTATTGAATTGTACTAGCTTAATAAGAGTTCGTTTTGATCATAATCAACTCAGTGGAAATATATCGAATGGTTTTGGGGTCTATCCAAGCTTAGCTTACCTTGATATCAGTCACAATCATTTTCATGGGGAGCTTTCTAAAAACTGGAGTAAATGCAAGAATTTGACAGTCTTAAATATGGGATACAACAGCATCAGTGGTTACATACCTCTAGAGTTTGGAAGTGCAACTCAACTACGAAAGCTTAATCTTTCTTCAAATCATTTAATCGGTGAGATCCCACAGGAGATGGGGAAGATGACAAGTATGTTGTATTTGTCTTTGGCTGATAACCAACTTTCAGGTATTATACCTCCGGAGCTTGGATCACTGCATGATCTCCTTGCTATCGATTTGTCCTCAAATAGATTAAATGGCTCGATACCAAGAAGTATTGGTAATTGGACTTATATCTACAACTTGAATCTTAGTAACAACATGCTCAGTGAAAAAATTCCATCTGAGATTGGTAAATTAGTTCAGCTTACGGAACTAGATTTATCTCAGAATTTGTTCAAGGAAGAGATACCATCTGAAGTTCAAAGTTTGCAAAGTTTGCAAAAATTGAATCTTTCTCACAATAGATTATCTGGTTCTATTCCTGATGCAATTAAAAGTTTGCCTCGTGGGACTGATATTGACTTATCTTACAATGAGCTCTCAGGTCCAGTTCCAACTAACACTAACTTTTTGAATGTGTCTATAGAAGGCAATCCACATTTGTGTGGAAATTTTACAGGACTAAAATTTTGTGCAAGTCAAATCTCGAAGAAGAAAAATGATCCCTTTCATCATCAACTCATCCTTGTAATTATGCTCCCTCTTATCGGGGCAATTTTACTTGTTTTTTTCATGTGTGGCCTCATTGCTTATCGAAAACGAAAGAGTCATTCTTCCCAGAAACCATTGGATGAAAAAGGTCGTGATTATTTCTTCATAACAAGTTTTGATGGAGGAGTAGCACATGATGACATCTTGAAAGCAACAAATAATTTTGATGAAGCATACTCCATTGGGACCGGAGGATATGGAACTGTGTACAAAGCCGAGATATAACCTAACAATGTGGTAGCTGTCAAGAAACTTCATTCATCATCATCTGAGAATGTTGATCATAATGGTTTCCTTAATGAGATACCAGCATTAACAAACATAAGGCATCGAAACATAGTGAAACTCTATGGATATTGCTCACATATCCGCCACTCGTTTTTGATTTATGAATACCTTGAAAAATGATGCATTGGATCAATCTTAAGAAGTGATATCTTAGCAAAAGAATTGGATTGGTTGAAAAGGGTCAATATTGTAAGGGCTATAGCTAATGGTTTGGCTTATATGCATCACGACTGCTCACCTCCTATAATTCATAGAGACATTTCCATTGGCAACATCCTTCTTGATTCTAATTATGAGGCACATATTTCTGATTTTGGCACATCCAAGCTTTTAAAGCTAGACTCATCAAACTGGACCGCTATTGCAGGCACCTATGGTTATATCGCGCCAGGTAACGTAATCTTGTGATTGTAGTTCTACATCTTCTTTAGTTTCATGATATATAAATTTGTATATGTGCATATATGTATTTATGTTAGAATCTTGTGGGGTTAATATAATCTTTTTTGTTTTTATTTTATGTTTCTATTAGAGCTTGCTTATACGATGGTTGCAACCGAGAAATGTGATGTGTATAGCTTTGGCATTGTTGCACTTGAAGTTATCATGGGAAAACATCCCGGTGAACTACCAACATTGTCTGCTGATTATCTAGTGTTGGAAAATGTGGGAGACAGTCGGATTCCACTACCCTCACCACAAGTTGAGAAACAAGTTAAGTTGGTGTTGAGTCTCTCAAGAGCATGTTTGAACTCCAATCCGAACGGAAGACCAACAATGCGCCAAGTTTCAAATCTGTTTATGAAGGATCTGCTTTGAAACAACATTTGTTGTCCAATAAATATAATGTACGTTCAATGTTCTTTACTTTTCTCAAGTTCTCTATATGCATCATGTCAATATATATGTATTCATTTGAATGCCTTTTTGTTAAGAAACTTTAGATTTGTTTGTAATAGATAAACAGATAAGTCAATGGGTTGAGATTGTTGTAGTTCTAAAACTCACTACTGAAACCAAGGACACCAAAATAAAAAATTATGTTAAGTATGTTGTTATACTTATATCTCTTTGCCCATTGGGAAATTTTGTGAGACACTTTGTATGATAAGATGAAAGGTGTCTTTACAAAGATGGCAAATTTCAAATATTAAGAAAAAAAATTCAAATATTAAAGCAATTTAAACATACAGCCTGGAACCTTTTTGGCTCCCCTCTCCATGTCTCCGATCCTAGCATGCATTTGAGCTGTTGAGTCCCAATTAACTAACTAAATCCTTCACACAAAACATATACGATTTCAGTTATTGGTACGGATTTCACTTTGGTTTGAAATATGACTAGAACTATAATTAAGAGATTATGTGGATGAGTTTGGTATAACATGGATATAATATTGACTTCAATTTCTTACTGGTTTTATGTCTCACCCCCCTTTCATTTCCTTTCAATATGATATGGCATAACATATATGGATGTAATGGGAAATGATTTTATCATTTTCATGTATCACAAAAAAGTCACATATTGCAAAGGTTAAGCAGCCAACATATATGGATGTAATGGTAACTCGATCTTATTTCACCTATTTAATTGGGTTGTTCTCAAAGTAAAATTACCCACTTACAGAAATCGAATAGTGATATTGAGAGGGAAAGAAGAGTAGAGATACCGGAGTCGATAGTAAAAGAAATATCACTTTCCTTTTTTAGATTAAGCATATCCAAATGAATGCAAATGGATAGACCGGAGTCAATAGTAAAAGAAAACAACCAATATAGACGTTTTAATTGTTATCCATTTAAACAATGATCAGCACTTAACCCGCTCAGCTTCTACTACGGAAATGATTCACACTGATGAAGAATCACCAATATGTTTAAATTGATACATTTTCCTCGATTTTAATGGATTTAAGTGATTTAGTATCAAGTTAGTATAAATTTCTATGGGACATAAGGGAGAAAACCGAGAGATATGAAAATGGACAAGGAGAATTGCTAAGAGTCAACGATGAGAATCCTCACATTTGACAAAGTTTTCCCAACTGTTGTAAGGTTAAAAAAACGTTTAAAACCCGTATCCGTAGTTGTGTATTATGAGCAAGTATAAACCTTTTATTCATACCCATCCGGAAAAAACCTTAAATCAATTACAGGATTTGTCCTGTTTTTGGTTTATCCCAGGTAACACAAAAACATAGCTAGTGAGTATGCACTACAAGAAACATAGCTAATGATCCACTGGTCGCCGCTATTGCCTTCTGTCGCCGTTAAAGGCGTGTCGCTGCTAATACTATCTGTCGCCACTAAAGGTGTCGCCTCTATTTGTATGTATTTATATACATACAAATACACATACATACATAATACACACACAAAATACACATATACATACAAAAACACTTACACATACATAATTTACTTACATATACATATAAATGAGCATACAAAAACACATATACATACATAAAATACACTCGAGATACACATATACATACAAAATACATATATCCACATCTACAAACACAAAATATAAATACAAATACACATCTAAAATATCAAAATTTCATCATAAACAGTGGTGGTGGCGGTATACTCCGACGAGAATGGTGGGGGTCTCAAAATTCTGACAACCAACACAAATTTAGTAGGGAGAAAAGAAAAGGAAAAGAAAAAGGGGGGAAATGGAGAGGAAGAGAAGTGAAATATCGAAGATTTCGGTGAAATTTCGATAGGGTCGAAGGTGGTGAGCAGAGAGAAGAGAGAAGAAGGGAAAACACAGAAGTAGATCAGGGAAGAAAGTGAAGACGAAGCAGATTTTATTGTCAGGCAGCCTTTAGCGGCAACACACCGGAGGGAAAATAACGCGGGGTTTTCTACGTCCTCCTAGTCGTTGGATCATCGCCTAAATTGACGGTTAGGGCTGAAATGATGCGAATCGCCAACATAAGTTTTTATCGGCGGCACCTTTAGCGGCGATAGACACGTTTAGCGGCGACAAAAACGCGTTTGTTTGATGTCGCCGCTAAAAGTGTCTGTTGCTACTAAAGGTGTCGCTGCTATTGCCTATTATTCTTGTAGTGATACATAATATTCTTGATTTCTTGATTTCTTGATTTCTTGATTGCTCTTCTTAGAGTTATACAAAACATTGGGGATATTAGCTTCTTTGCATTATTGACAGAGCATACAATTTTCAAGAGAGTTACTCGGTGTTGGAGGAAGTTTAAGTATGCGTATCCAGTAAGCATAGTATATCATACGGAGTTTGGCTAACATGAAGATGTCACCAACATGAATTATCTGACGCTAAATTTTTATTGACATATTTCGCCAATGCTATCCTGAGCATGTTAATCGGAACACTTGGTGTAGGTAGGCACCACTGAAATTCAACCCAAAACGGCAATCCAACGTCGTTGTTTCCACTTGATTCACAACAAGCACCGACAAAATAACGACAATCCCTTGATCCTCCGCCATTACCAGCATCACAAGAAGGAATAGAGAACTCGCAAGAAAAAGGGATGTTAAGCAAAAATCAATAACGGCTATGTGAACAGTTACCATGCTGCGAAAACCTCTTTTATATGCGTTATAAACATACCCCACATCATCTCATCATAAACTAGAGCGTCGTAGAGGAGGATACCCTTTGCAGAATCGCCATACACGCTTGGAGGGAAATACAAATTGCAAATACATGCGCCCTAGCCATTAAAAAGGCCGAAGTCGGATTCCATATTCAAGTTCGACACATATTCTTGCAATTGGCTCTAATACTTAGTGTAGTTTCAAGAAAAAAAAAACAGACCCATTTACATCCCACTCTTTGGCGTCGAGACATAGTACTGAGGTGAGCCACAATCAACTTAGTGGTTCCATTTCTTCACCACTAGCAACCCACAATGTCTGCACCTCCATACGAATAAATTACATGGTCTCATTCGTATTGAAGCTCAAAATTCAAAGTATCTCACTGATCTTTATCCGAGTGAAAATCAACTTACAGTACAAGAAAAATGCTAGTGACAAAAATGATGCTGTTAGTAACAGTAAAAGGAGTAGTCACTAAATGATTTACTAACCAAAATTTCTGTAGTCACTTTTTTTCATTGTAGCACTGTCGCTAAATAGATTAGAGATCAAAATATATAAGTGATCACTAATTAGTGCTTCTATAATTCCTCAAGAGTTTGGAAATTCTACTCAAATACAAAGGCTTGATCTTTTTTCAAATTACTTGATTGGTGAGATCCCAAAGGAGTTTGGGAAGATGAATATCTTAAATTTGTCCTTGGCTAATACCCAACTTTCTGGTGATACCTTCAGACCTTGAATTGTATGATCTCCTTGGAGAACTTGACTTATATATACAAATCCATCCCACTCAAGAAATTGCAATGTGATCATTCCTATTGGTTGTTTTATGCAAATTTGTAAAATTGTAACTATTTTATGGAAAGTTTTATGCAATACGTTCAAGAACTTGTTTCCTCTCTTAAATTACTACCCTAAAATAACATATATATTCCAGCAAATTAGAGACACCATTTCAGCAAATCAGAAATCAAAAATCGATTTCAGAAATCAAAAAACGATTTTAGAAATCAGGAGCATAAAATCAATTATAGCATAGCTACATCAAAAATCAGGAAAAAAAATACATGTTGATTTCACGAGGAAGACGCCGGCGATAAGGGTCGAAATAATGATGGAGAGTTTCCCTGTGAGTTGTGACTGTGATGGTCTGTGAGTGGCGATGATGAGCTTAGGAGGAAGAACAACGGGGAAGGAAGAACGATGGGAGCTTTTTTTTGATGAGCGGCCTTTTTTTTCCAATGTCCCATTTTTTCGGTCTTAGTTTAGGAAGAGGCTTGAAGAGGCAAGCCCAATGTTGTATGGGGCAGAGGAGGCACAAAGGTTTTTTAATCATAAGCCTATTAAAAAACAAACTGTCAGATAGAAAGTAAAGTGTTGCAGGCATGATGCGTCACGAAATAATAAGTGGTCAGAAGAGGTTTTTACAAAAAAACAAACACCACCTCTGAGCATAGTAAAGCTACACCAAGCGTAGGTACCCTTTTATCTGTACCGTTTTATGACATGCAATGCGTGTCATTAAAAGACCAATTTTCTTGTAGTGTGTTGTTTTGGAACATTCACTTTAAGAGATATTTAAGGTTGAAATTTATTATGTGATAATGTTTGTTGGATGTACTTTGAAAGCTTTTGAAATGGTATTCCCTAGCTTTCCTCCATTTCATAAACCATTTAAATAATAATAATAATAATTAAATATACATAAAACTATTACGTAATTGAAATAACATTCATTAGTAAATGAAATTACTAGACTAAAAACATAATTGACAAAAATCTTAAAAAAACACATGCTTAAATAAACAAAATACATAAAAGCATTTTATTCCCATATATATTTTTCCCAAATTCACTCTTGCGTACTAGGACCGCAACCAATGTCGAGCCAAAAAAATTCTCATATGCCACTATATAGATCCACGTATCCACATCTCTACGTTTTTCTTGCATCAAACGCAACTCCTTGTCCATGATGTGCATTCTTTTTTGTTATTCTTCCACCATCAAATGCAACTTTTCCGCTCGATGCCGTTTTCTGTGAAAACTTGTGCAAATGGGGAAAATTGAGTTTGGTGGGAAATGTGGGAATTGAGTTTCAGGTATTGAGTAATTGCTTGTTGTTGTGAACTCTTCGTATTTCCTTCCTTTTGAACATGTAGCACAACCTTTCCCATGGCTTTAGTCCATTTTGATTGTGAAAATATTGTGAGAAGGAATGTTGTGAAATATGGTGTAGTAAAATGAAGAAATTGAGAATGTATTAATACAATTAAATTTAAAAAAAAAAAAAAAAAAAAATTATGGTCATTGGAGATTTCTAGCTGTTAGGTAACTATCAAGAAGAGTAACAACTCGGGAAGAACAACCTGGAGGAAGCTCTTTCCCATCAAACCCGATGTGGCCAGATCCTTGTTCCCCATAATGAAGAACCCGAAGCTCCTTCATGAGCTTCATGGGTCAACCCCTTCCATCCGTATGTTAGTTTAGAGTTTATATGGATTTGGCCCCTATACACAGTTTGTACGTATACTGATTTGGGTTGATGACAAAATGGTCATTTCTAAAAAGATATAAGTTGAATAGTTAGATTTAACGATCAAATGCCTACTTGTACAAGAAAATGAAACCTTAGAAACTAACCATGCCAAAAAATTTAAAGTTGGACTAAGAGTACTAATCTGTGAATACCACAGGAACTATTTTTGTAATTTACTTTAGATATAGATTGATTGTGTGTGGGTTTTTACTATGGTCCATGGAAACGGTCTAGTGTTTTGTAAAGATTGTCACCGACAAAATAAATTAAAATTTGAAAGAGCATGATGTAAATTGTCATACAAAACTCAAAAGTCAAAGTCAAAAATCAAAAGTCAACAACATACATAGTCTATTCAACTATTGTAAATTAGTAAGCTAAACAGTGGGATGCTTAATTTTCTAAGACAATAATATTGTGTTCACTTATATGCCATCAAAAATATTATCCTATATAATATTTAGTAAGTTACAAATTTGGTCCCTGGGCATATCGTTTTTCCAGGTTTGGTCCAAGGGCAAAATAGTCTACTTAGAAATTCACAGACTAATGGCTAGATTTAATGATTCAGCAACAAATTAAAACCACTGGGACATATTTTTTGAGAAAATAAAAAATTGGACTGAACCTATGATTTTCAGTAAAGTATGGGGACCAAAATTGTTAGTCATTTTGAAAAGGTAGAGAATGACCCTAAGAAATAACGACTTGCTTGGTTGGCAACTTGGTATAATGTTTATGGAGAAACGAAATCTGTCAAAGTAATTTGAGTGTGAATAATCTCCGGTTCCTTATACGCTTGGTTGGCATTAATGAAATAATATTTAGGAACAAGTAAAAAATCAAATCTAGTTTAATTTTTTGATAGCTAATTATTATTATAATGTCTTTGTTAACCATGGTCTTTTCCTAGATTGTCATGATCTACATTTTAAAGTTTAATAGATTCCTTGTGGAAAAACATAACATTGACTTATCACATAAAAGACATTTCTTGTGAAATAAATGACTTTTTCCAAATTTTCCATGTATAAAAAAGTTAAATAATAAAAACAAACAAACAAAATAAAGAAAGCAATAACGCAAGTATAAATTAGGCAGATACAAACTATCATTTTTTCAAAAGAGAAAAAACATGGCAAAGCACATAATGTCTTCCTCAACCTTCTTACTTTTTTCTCTACTAATCATGAAACTCTCCCCCATACCAAATTTTGCCTTTGTTTCTTTGGAGGAAGCCAATGCTCTTCATAAATGGAAAGCAACCCTTCAAATCCCAAACAATTCCTTGATTTCTTCATGGATTCCTCTCCCTTTGAATTCCAGTGTATCAGTTCCATGCACTTCTTGGTTTGGAATAGTTTGCAATGCTGATGGGAGCATTAAGAACTTGAACATCAGTGCATCTGGATTAAAGGGTACACAATCTTCTCCATTTTCCATTCTCTTTGCTACACTATATTTCGCATTTTGATCTCAGTATAAACAACTTCTTTAGCCCCATCCCACCAGAAATCAGACTCCTGTCAAGACTTGTCTATCTTGATTTTTCAGCAAATAACTTTTCTGGTGTAATCCCACCTGAAATAGGGACAATGCTATACAATCTTGAGATATTTTACCTGAATGGAAATAACCTGAGTGGTTCCATACCACGAGAGATCGGTCAACTAACCTCACTCTATAAGCTTCAATTGTCTGACAATTTTCTTCAAGGAGAATTGCCTCCAACACTGGGAAATTTAACAAAGTTAGTTCATCTCTATCAGTATAACAATAAACTTTTGGGTGAAATTCTTTCATCATTGGGTGATTTGACATCTTTGAATGTCATTTATTTGGACCACAATCAACTCTCTGGTCCTATTCCTATCGAAGTTGGGAATTAGAAGTCTCTCACTGATCTTAATATGAGCGACAATCAACTTAGTGGTTCTATTCCTTCATCACTAGCAAACATCAGCAACCTAGAAAATATGTTCTTTTTTAATAATATATTATCTGGTTCCATTCCTATTGAACTTGGGAATTTGAAATCTCTTATTGATCTTAAGGCGAACCACAATCAACTTATAGGTACTATTCCTTCATCACTAGCAAATTTGAGCAACTTACAGCATCTGTACCTCCATCAAAATAAATTATCTCGTCCCATTCCTATTAAACTTGGTAATTTGGAGTCTCTCACTGTGCTTGGGGTTGGCGACAATCAGATTAGTGGTTCTATTCCTTCAACACTAGCAAACCTCAGCAACCTACAGTATCTGTACCTCAATGAGAATAAATTATTCGGTACAATTCCACAGGGATTAGGAAGTCTAGAATTGTTTCACCTACAAATGTACAATAATCGATTGTCTGGCCATTTACCCGAAGATCTGTGCAATGGGGGAAAGCTTCAGTTGTTAATAGTTAATGGAAATCAACTCACTGGTTCTATTTCAAGAGGCTTAAAGAATTGTTCTAGCTTAATAAGGGCTCGGTTTGATCAAAATCAAATCATTGGAGTTATATCCAATAGCTTTGGCATCTATCCACGCTTTAAAATATCTTGATATCAGTCACAATAATTTTCACGGGCAGCTTTCTCAAAATTGGAGTAAATGCAAGAATTTGACAGCCTTAATGATGGCATATAACAACATCAGTGGTAGCATACCACCAGAGTTTGGAAATTCAACTCAACTACAAAGACTTGATCTTTCTTCAAATAGTTTGGTTGGTGAGATCCCAAAGGAGTTTGAGAAGATGAAAAGCATGTTCTACTTGTACTTGTCTGATAATCAACTTTCGGATATTATACCACAGGAGCTCGGATCACTGCATCATCTCCTTGCTCTTGATCTATCTAAAAAATATATTGAATGGGTTGATTCCAAAAAGTATTGGTTATTGGGCATTCCTCTACTACTTGAATCTTAGTAATAACAACCTCAGTGAAAAAAATCCCATCTGAGATTGGTAAATTAGGTCAACTTACCAAACTTTATTTATCTCACAATTTGCTCATCAAAGAGATACCGTCTGAAGTTCAAAGTTTGCAAAAATTGGATCTTTCTCACAATAGACTATCTGGTTCTATTCCTGATACTTTTACAAGTTTGCCTAGCGGGATTGATATCGACCTATCTTACAATGAGCTCAAAGGTCCGGTTCCTTCTAGCACTAACTTTGTGAATGCATCCATACAAGGCAATCTAGGTTTGTGTGGAAATTTTATAGGGTAGGATCTTTGTGCAAGTAAAATTAAAAAGAAGAAAAATGATGCATTTCATCATAGGCTGATCCTTGTAATTATGCTCTCCCTTATTGGGGTAGTGTTACTTGGTTTGTTCATGTGTGGAATCATTGTTCATCGACAACGGAAAAAAGTTGCTCCACAGAAACAGTCAGACGTAGAAGGTCATGATTTTTTTTCCATAACAAGTTTTGATGGAAATGTAGTTTATGACGAAATCATTAAGGCAACAAATGATTTTGATGAAGCATATTGTATTGGGACTGGAGGATGCGGCATTGTGTACAAAGCAGAGCTACAACCTAACAATGTGTTAGCAGTCAAGAAAATTTATTCATTGATATCAGTTGAGGAAGCTGATCATAATGGTTTCCTTAATGAGGTACATGCATTAACAAACATAAGGCTTCGAAACATAGTGAAACTCTATGGATATTGCTCCCATGCCCGCCACTCATTTTTGATTTATGAATACCTTGAAAAGGGAAGTCTTGGATCAATCTTAAGAAGTGGTGTCTTAGCAAAAGAATTGGATTGGTTGAAAACGGTCAATATTGTAAAGGCTGTAGCTAATGGTTTGGCTTATATGCATCACGACTGCTCGCCTCCTATAATTCATAGAGACATTTCCATTGCCAACATCCTTCTTGATTCTGATTATGAGGCGCATATTTCTGATTTTGGCACATCCAAGCTTTTAAAGCTAGACTCATCCAATTGGACTGCAATTGCTGGACCTATGGTTATATCGCACCAGGTAAGGTACTCTTCTGATGCTAGTTCTACATATTCTCAAGTTTCTTGTTGGAATCTTGTGGGGGTTGATATCACCTTTTTTGTTTTTATGTTATGTTTCTTCAGATGTAGAACTTGCTTATACGATGGTGGCAACCGAGAAATGTGATGTTTATAGCTTTGGAGTTGTTGCGCTAGAAGTGATCATGGGAAAGCACCCTGGAGAACTCATAACATCTTTACCAACATTGTCTGTTAATTATCTGGTTCCAACAAATGTGGGAGATATTCAGATGCCTCCTCCCTCATCCCAAGTTGAGAAACAAGTTCAGTCGGTTCTAAGTATCTCAAGAACATGTTTGAACTCCAATCCACACGAAAGGCCAACAATGAGCCAAGTTTCAAATCTATTAATGAAGGATCTGTGTTGAATTAAAATCTCTTACCTGATATAGTGTACTTTTAATGTCTATACTTTTTTCAAGTTCCCTATATGCCTCCTCGTTAGGTGCATTCATTTGAATGCCTCCTGGTTAAGAAATTTCTGATCATATGTTTTCTTGTATCATTATGTAGTAGATAAAAAAATAAGTCAGTGAACATTGCTATCCTTCTAGAAATTCACTGCTGGAAAATTCAGTATTAGCAACTTACCAATCCATCGATTCTTAAGGAGGAGTTTCATCTATAATTTTACGTCTTTTCATCATGTTTTGTTTTCAGGTAAAAGTTAGAAAGAATATTTTCCATCACTTGGATTTCCAATAAATGTAAAAGTTAGTAAAATTACATTAGTAAATTAATTATATACAAGAAAAAGTATTCTACAATTTATATGAGAAAAAAAACACATAGTAGTGCCGGCGGTGCAGTCGCACCGGGCCTTCGATCATAGGGGGCCTCAGATTTTTTGGATAATTTATAGTTATAGTATTGGTATTTTTGTAAAATCGATTTTTTGGATAATTTATAGTTATAGTATTTGTATTACGAATACGAGTAGAGTTTTACACAATATATGAGTATGCTTGTTCAACGCATAATCGAATATGACAAAAATAGAGGAAATCCGACAAAAGTCAATAAAACCCACTATGTTGTTATTATGACAATGAGGAAAAAGATAAATATATAATGAAAATATGTGAAGGAAATGAAATGTTGCAATTTCAGAAATAGCAAAAGAATAAAATTATTCCACAGATATAGGAATTTAACAAGGATTTACTCGGATTGGCTGGCACCAGATTCTCATCCACCTGACACGAAAGCATTTGTATGTCCCCTGTATATATGGATCTTTATTGTAGAAAACATGAGCTTTGGAATGTGATAGAAAATATTATCATATTTAAGTTAGTGATACATTTTGACCTAGTGGTTATGCAAGTAAATTTTGAATTCAAAATGTCATAGATTTACGTTAGTTTTATGTGAGCAACTCAGATATCACATAACTATCCTACATGACAAACATTAAAGCAAGGTTGCAAGCATAAGTGTGGTTTTTTTTCCTTTTCAAGTTGAGTCTGATTGTGAGATCTCATATGTTATTGCATTCTAATTGTGCCTACTTTCTAAAGTCCAAAAGTGTGGCGCTTTCGGGAGTTATTGAGAAGGCCAGTTCAAGATTGCCAATATCCTATAAATTTAAGTTAAGAAAAGAAGGTTTTTACGGAACAATTTTATGATAACCTACATAGCAAATGACTTACAACTTACATAGCAAAGGAACAACTAACCCGACGGTAAAATTAAGGAACAAGGATATTGACTTGGAAAATGAAAACTAATGGAGATAGTGATTGTTAAAAATGCTCCTTATCACTAGCTCAAGACTTTGCCACTACTGCCATCAAACGGTTGTGTGGATGCTCACATCTTGGGCGAAATTCACATCCAAATTATCATTGTTAACCTAATAATATTTTGGGCTTTATTTTGTATTGGGTTTTATGATTGGGCCTTTCCGCTAGGAAACCCTAATTAGTTTGTCTATATATTATGTCTTTCCTTTTCATTGTATTTATACTTCTCTTTGATAATAATATGAAACCCTAGCCGTTATATGTATTTCATTTGTTAGTTTACATGGTATCAGAGCTCGGTTGATTATCTGTAGTTTTTTCGTTTTTTTTTTTTGGGGCGAGTACTGTTCACCGATTACTGTTCATCGACACTGTTCATCGCACGGTTACTGTTCACGATTACTGTTCATCGACACTGTTCATCGCACGGTTACTGTTCACGATTACTGTTCATCGATACTGTTCATCGATTACTGTTCACGTGTACTGTTCACGGTTACTATTCATCAACACTATTCACGTGTACTGTTCATTGTCACCATTTGCAATTTTGGGGTATGCCTTTTTTGCTCGTTTCTGTATTTGGTTTGGTTTGATTTGTTCGTTTGTCGGTTTTGAGGGTTTCGTTTTCGTCTAGCTTTGTTGATTTCGAGATCTTGATCATTTTTTTGCTACTACTCGTATTTACTATTTGATTGATATTGAAATATGGCCCCAAGAGATGATTCTCTTCAGTCCATTAGTATTCAACTTGATGGCAAAAACTATGCCTATTGGAGTTATGTTATGAAAAATTTCTTGCGGGGCAAGACTATGTGGGGGATTGTTACAGGTGACAAGAAGAAACCAACAGACGAGAAGGCCGCTAATTATGAAACCTTACTGGATTCATGGGAGACTGATAACTCCAAGATCATTACTTGGATTAATAATTCTGTCATCCAGTCAATTGGTACTCAGTTTGCGAAGTATGACACGGCAAAGGAGGTTTGGGATCACTTGGCTAGGTTGTATACTCAGTCTAACTTTGCAAAGCAGTATCAGTTAGAGTTTGATATTCGAGCCCTCCAACAGAACAATCTTAGTGTTCAGGAATTTTATGCAGCTATGTCGGATTTGTGGGATCAGTTAGCTCTTACAGAACCTGATGTGTTGAAGGCTTTTAAGCCTTATATTGATAGAAGGGAAGAGCAACGTTTGGTTCAGTTCTTGATGGCATTACGTTCAGATTTTGAAGGTCTGCGTGGATCAATCTTGCATCGTACACCTCTTCCCACTGTTGATTCGGTTGTTCACGAGTTGATTGCTGAAGAAACTCGTATCAAGTCCCATGCTGACAAAGCTCCCAAGACAGCCACTCCTGTTGTCTTTGCTGTTTCACAACGACCCCAATCTTCAAACCAAAATCGTCCCAGAGTTGCATTTGATGAGTGTGCTTTCTGTAAGAAGAAAAACCATTGGAAGGCAAATTGTCCTTTACTGACAAGCAAGGGAAATCAACAGCAACAACAAACAAGATCACCAGCATACTCTCAGTCTTCACAGCAGAACAAGTCTTCTGGACAGTCACGTCCCTCTTTTTCATCTTTTAGGCCAGCACAGTACGCTGCTGTACACCTTCAGTTGAGAATGAAACAGATTTCACACCACCATCAGCCTTGGATCCACAGATTGTTGAGCAGTTCAGACAGTTCTTAGCTACCAATCCAACTGCCATGTCAGCTTCCATGTCTCATTCAGGTCTGTCTTCATCCAACACGTCAGGTATTCCTTCATCCTTGTGGATATTGGATTCTGGTGCATCTCATCACATGTCACCACATTTTTCATCTTTTGCTTCATTATCTTCTCGTACACCTGTCTCTGTTATGTCTGCTAGTGCTACACCCATGTCAGTAGAGGGTGTTGGTTCTATTGTCACTCCTTATATATCTTTAACAGATGTGTATTACATTCCTACACTTGCTTTGAATCTTGCATCGGTCAGTCAGTTGTGTAAATCTGGTTGTTGGGTCTTCTTTTCTGATTCATTCTGCTGTGTACAGGACATTCGGTCTCGGAGGGTGATTGGGATAGGCCGTAGACTTGGGGAGCTTTATGTCTTGGAGCAGCTACATGTTGCTGATGTTGCTGCATCTAGTGTCGATTTGTCGTCTTTTCGTTTAAACCCTTCATCGTCTCCTTTTTATCTTTGGCATTCTCGTTTGGGACATGTTTCAGCGTCTCGTTTACAGTTTTTGGTTTCCACTGGTGTGTTAGGCTCTTTGAAATTTGATGATATTTCTGATTGTTGTGGTTGTAAACTGGGAAAATTTTCTGCTTTACCGTTTAATAAAAGTGTCACTCGTTCTATTGCTCCCTTTGATATTGTGCATTCTGATGTGTGGGGTCCCTCTCCGATAACCTCCAAGTCAGGAGCTAACTATTATGTTTCATTCATTGATGATTACACTCGTTATACGTGGGTTTATTTTATGAAGCACGGGTCTGACTTTTTCACCATATATAGTGAATTCAGAGCTCTTGTCAAGATTCAACACTCTGCTGTCATAAAAAAATTTTAGTGTGATCTGGGAGGAGAATTTACCTCCAATGATTTTAAACCATTATTGGCATCTGATGGCACTATACATCAATCATCTTGTACAGACACTCCTCAACAGAATGGTGTTGCAGAAAGAAAACATCGACATCTCCTAGAAACTGCTAGATCCTTACTACTCTCTGCTCAAGTTCCCAATATGTTTTGGGGAGAAGCTGTTCATACCGCTACTTATGTTATTAATCGCATTCCTACTGCATACACTTCGGGAAAGTCTCCTTATGAAATGTTGTTTGGACAACTCCCAGATTATTCTTCATTACGAGTGTTTGGGTGTACATGTTTTGTCTTGAAGCCTCATGTAGAGAGAGATAAGTTGTCTTCAAAATCAGCTCTTTGTGTTTTTCTGGGATATGGTATTGGTCAGAAAGGTTATCGGTGCTATGATCCTTCAAATCAGAAACTGTATGTATCTCGCAATGTCACCTTTTTGGAGCATATTCCATTCTATAGCATTCCTGTTCAGTCACATGATGCAACCCGAGAGGAGCTCTATACTATTGATCCGTTTAGCATTGACATTGATGATCCACCACATGTCACTGATCCACCACTTGCTGCTGATTCACCACATGTGGCTGATCCAGCACCTATCGTTGATCCTCTGCCTACAAATCATCAAGACCCCCTCCATCGAGACCTTATCGTAGTAAGAAGTCCACAAAGCTTCCTGACTTTGTCTATTCCTCTTACTCACCGGCTTTTGCCTCTTTTATTGCTAATGTACATCGTCTCTCTGAGCCAACATCCTATAAAGAGGCCATTTCTGATCCCCTTTGGCAAACCGCTATGGCTGAGGAACTTGCAGCTCTTTATCAGACTCATACATTGGATCTGGTTCCGCTTCCACCTGGAAAACACACGATTGGTTGTCGTTGGGTTTATAAAATCAAAACAAAGTCTGATGGATCCGTTGAGCGCTATAAAGCTAGACTTGTTGCGAAAGGGTACGCGCAAAAGTATGGTATGGATTATGAGGAGACGTTTGCTCCTGTTGCAAAAATGACAACTGTTCGCACCTTGATTGCAGTTTCTTCCATTCTTCAATGGAATATTTATCAAATGGATGTCAAGAATGCTTTCTTGAATGGCGATCTTCATGAAGAAGTATACATGTCTCCTCCCCCTGGTATTGCTCACCGACCAGGTGAAGTTTGTCGACTTCGGAAGGCTCTATATGGCCTCAAACAAGCCCCTCGTGCTTGGTTTGAGAAATTTTCTACGGTGATTACTTCTCTTGGTTTTCAACCAAGTAACCATGATTCGGCTCTATTTATTCGATGTACG